CCAAATTTAGTCCCTCAACTTTAGTGAGTTGTATATTTTTGGTCCCTTAACAATTTTTTGCACTTTTTTTATCCCTCAACTCTACAAAGTGCACTCCATTAGTCCTTCTGTCAATTTGGACCATTAACTCGGCCATATGGCATTTTTTTTATATTTTTTTTATGACATAGCGAGCACAACTTAAAAAGGTGCTGATCTGGACTTTTTTTTGATGACATGTCATCTTCTTCACGCCAAAGCCCCTCCAATGGATCTTGCCTGTAAATTGGTCTCTCATCTTCACTCTCTGCAAAATCAATCTTAACCCATTTCTTCTTATTCTTTGAATGCTCTCTCATCTCCACTCCATCTGCAAAATCGATCTTAACCCATTTTTTCTTCTTCTGTGAATCCTCTCTCATCTCCACTCCATTTACAAAACCGATCTTAACCCATTTCTTCTTCTTCTCTTTTCTCGGGAGAACTTGAGCTATTGGGTTTTCATTGAAACCTCAAACCTGGCAGATCTTATCAAATCAAACTAATCTTTCAATAAACAATACCAATCAAACTCTAATAGAATTCCAACAAAAATACAATCAAACTTTAATTAAATTTTAACAAAAATGCAATCAAATTATAAATCAACCCCCAAATTTATTAACAATTGGGAATGGAAATCGAACGAAGAATGAAAAAACATGAACCGAGCTGCTGGGTTCCGTCGAACCCAACTTTCCCAACAAAGTTGGGTTCGGTTGAAACCCAGCAAAGCTGGGTTCGACGAAACCCAGCCTTGGCTGGTCGACAAACCCAACAAGGTTGGGTTTCAATGGAACGAACCCAGCAGCTGGGTTCGTCGAAACCTAGCCTTGTTGGGTTCGTCGAAACCCAGATCTGCTGGGTTCCGATGTACCTAGCCTTGGTTGGTCAACAAACCCAACAAGGCTGGGTTTCCACCAAACCCAGCCTATCCCAGGGTAGGAAAGAAAGAAAGAAAGAAAGAAAGAAAGAGAAAGAAAGAAGGGGAAGAAGAGGAAATGGGGGGGTTGAGGGTAATAAGGTAATTTTATTTGTTTTTAATTAAAATATACATATTAATTTATGTGGCATTTTTATTTATTTATATAACATAATTATAATATATATTATTGCCACATCATCAAAAAAATTAAAAAACAATGCCACATGAAATTATTTAACTGCCACATCATACTTAACTGACGGAAGGACCAAAACTGTACAATTTTTAGAGTCAAGGGATCAAAAAAATGCAAAAAGTTGGTAAGGGACCAAAAATGTGTATTTCATAAAGTTGAGGGACTAAATTTAGCATTTAACCAATCTATTTTTACCCCGGTGGAATTGAGGGTTTGGGCAAGGCAAATCAATGAATTTTGGGATATTTTCGTATTTTCGTTATCTTGGGATGGGAAGGAAGTTGTTCCCCGGCCTTTCGTTCGTGGTTCGCTACGTTCCCACCGTATCTCACCTCTAGGGTTTAGCTCCGACCACCACCGCCGCCGATGCATTTCCTCATCTACAGTTAAAATGGGCAGCACCGGCAGGCTCCTCCTCCTCCTCTCCCCCTCTTCCTCTCTTCTCCTCCAGCGTTCCGCCTCCGTTATCCGCCTCTCCCGCCGTCGCGACTACCATCTTCCTTTACCCCTCCACCACGACTGCCTTGTACCCCAACCTCGCTCACTTCGCTGCATCATCCATACAAAACCCTCTCCTTTACTCCCTGTCATTCCCTCTCACCGCTGCCGCCACCACCACCATCTCCACACACAATCCGCCTTCTCAAATTACGCAGAGTCATTCTCTCCTGCCCCTCCTCAACATCTTCCACGCCATCCCTGGCCCGAATTTTAATTTCTCCTCCAGAACCTCTCAACTGCTGGCTACTTTAATTCTGATCTCTATTTCAATCCTGATGAGTTGGCCTCTGCATTCCAACCACCAGAGGAGTTCCTTAGAGCTGCAAGTGCCTGCTTGGCATTCGCACGCGATAAAGCCAACTCTTTACGGTCTGTATATAGAATTTCCGTCAATAATTTTGCTTCGACAGTTTCATCTTTCCCTGCGCTCTGTTTTGAGTCTTATGTTTGTCTTTGTGGTTAGGATGCTTTCGAGAACAGAGATAGAGGTGTTGGTGCAGAGTGGGATGCCTTTTTTGTTCAGAAATGGGGAGGAGTCGGCAAGGAGGATGAGGGTGTTTCTGGGTAGTGAAGGAAGCAATGTAAGTTATATAAATTCATTTTGTACTTTTTAGGTTTCTAGTCTCTATTTCAAAGATTAGTTCCTCCATTATATTTGTTTTATTTATTTTTTTGATGTTATTTGATTTAATTGATGTGTCTACAGTTTCATTTATCCATTTTATTAATAGAAGAAGCTAAATGAAGGTTTAGTCAGTTGTAGAAGCTTGAAGGTTTTCCTTAACCCATTAATATCAATAACTTTGAATTCTGCAAGGCTTCAATAATCTTAGTAACATTTGGACAAGCCTGTAAAAAATGTTGTGTACACATTAGTTTTACGAGTAGTATGAAAATTATAGAAATCGAATTGGTGGCATAAGTTAGTTGTGTTTTACAAAGGAATCCTTCCAGGTGTACTCAGCCGGGAAGTTAGTTGTTATTTTAATCCCTAAATGTAGGACTTTCTACTTGTTGTTGTCTGAAATGTAGCTTTAGTGGTGTATGACCTTCTTGATAGCTGCATATTCCTGATCCTTGCTGGTTCTGGAATCTGGAAGAACCTGTCAGGACTCAGGACCAGGAATGTCACTCTTGAAAAGTTGATTTTGAGATTGAAACCCATTTTTTTATGGCCAAGCAAAGTGGATTCTTTTCTTCCTTAATATTGTTAAAATGACAGTGGTAAATTGAAATTATGCCATATTCCTTAGTGTTTTGAAATTTTTAGGTGTCAGATGCTGATAAAGCAGACATGGTTGATCTGATGAAGTTTGTATTGAGTTATGCAAGTAATGTTGTTGCTTATATGGAAACAAACAATCTCTACAATGGAGAGTTTGTTGAATCATCTGTCCAGAATCTGTTGGGTGAGTTAGCCAAACTCAGTGTCGGTCCTCTGCCTTCAAACCGTTCTGCGTCTGTTCAGACCCAGTTCTCTCAGAAACATGGACAAACAAGGTCTTTTGGGAAAAACATTGAGATGAAAAGGGGTGACTGGATATGCCCAAGGTGAAGTTTTCAAATTCTTTTCTCTGTTTCAAATTCTTTTATCTGTTTTGTTCTTTGGTTTTCCAATTCAGCCATAAGGTGACAGGATCATCTATGCCCCCATAGTCTGATTATTTATTTTTCTTTTTAGATTTAATATTGACATTCTTTGAGGTGATGTTCTTAAATTAATTTTGGATGTGTGTTCGAACCCCTTTCTTCCCACTGATATTGCATTTTGCTGTTAACTGTATTAAGCAGGTGTAATTTCATGAACTTTGCAAGAAACATGAAATGCCTTGAGTGTGAGGAAGCCCGGCCAAAGAGACAGTTAACTGGTGGAGAGTGGGAGTGTCCTCAGTAAGCATTAAAATATTTCTTCTGTATTCTCTTTGTTTTAAATGATAAATGGTGATTTCACATTTTCATCTTTTTATTTACCCCATTACCAGATGTGCTTTCTATAATTATGCAAGGAATACAATATGCTTAATTTGTGATTGCAAGCAGCCTGGGGACATCTCACTTGGTGGCACCAACTCGCAGACAGGTCTGGCATACAACAATGCGAGCTTGACAAATAAGGTTGATCTGGATGCCAGGTTGGCTGCCAATGAAGAGAAGGCACAGAGGTGGTTCAGTAAAGTTTCACAGTTGGATGGTATTTCTGATATGAGCAGTGCCATAGCAAATGAGGATTTCCCTGAAATCATGCCCCTGAGAAAAGGAGTTAATAGATTTGTTGTGAGCACAAGGAAAACGCCCCTGGAGAGGAGGTTGGCAAATGCTCAGTACCAGAGGAACATGAGTAATGATGGAAATTCTAAAGATAACACTCTGCTGACTGGAGATGCAAATAAAGCACTAGACCCAGAAGTAGGCCAGAGTTTAGATGAAATTCTTGGTTGCTCATCTGCTGCTTCTAGATCTAATAATAATATCCGTGACACTGAGCAAAAAGCTAGAGCAGATAGTGCCCTTCCTACTTCTGGTTCAACTTCTCAATGTGGTCCTCTTAGAGGAAACAGGTCTGATTATGTCCCTTTTGTACCATTGCCAGCTGGTATGTTTGCCAGGAAACCTGAAAATTTGAAGATGGAGGACAGTCAAAAGAATATTTCACAAGATATTGCTTCAAATGCTGGTGAGCAAACTAGTGCTGTTTCAGGGAGTGAGCATAGTGACCCAAGCAAGGAACAATCCGAGAACAGTGACAAAGTGGACGAACAAGCCCAAAAATCTGAAAGATGGTTTAAGAGAGTTGCAGAATTACATGGGGTTACAGATGTGGCAAGTGTTGTTTCAGATAATGATTTTCCTGAGATCATGCCGATGCATAAAGGAGATAATAGATTTGTTGTCAACAGAAGGAAAGACCATTACTTGACCTCACCTATGTACAAGAAACGTATGAACATGGAGCAAGCTAATGTAACAATTATGTTCCCTTTGTCCTGTTCCCACCCAATTACTTTGCTGAAAGGGATAATCAACCAGACAGAGCAGATTCGAGTCCTAAAGATGATGAAATTTCAGCTGCTGTGACTCCAGAGAAGTATCCAGAAAAATCATGTGGGATGGCTGTTAGGGACTGTTTGCAGCAGATGGAAAATCAACAGGCAGAAAGCTGGAACTCAAAACCTTCCGGAGAGAACTTAAATCAGACTAGCAGTAATGCAGCTTTTGGGGAACAAGCTTTTGGAAATTCAATCCAAAATTTTTTCTCTTCCCAAATAAGCATTAATGATGGTGGCAGTGGTGCGGATCCTGGGATTGAGACTAAGAAAGAGACAACAAATTTGACATGGAGTTCGCGTCAGCCATCAGCAGAACATAACATCCAGAACAGCTGGAATGGAAAGAGCTTGGAAGGTTCAGCGGTGAAGGAACCAGATCTATTGGACATGTCAGAGGAGGCCAAGGCAGAGAGGTGGTTCCGACGTGTTGCCCAGATTAAGGACATATCAGAGCTCAGCCAGATCCCCGATGAAGACTTCCCATCAATAATGCCAATGCGGAAGGGGGTGAATAGATTTGTTGTAAGTAAGAGGAAAACACCACTGGAGAGAAGATTGACATCTCAAAAGTATAGTAGAAATCTTCCTGTTGAGAGCTCTGATCCATTGAATAAGGAAGGTGACAATAACTGAGAAAAGAAAAACCATTTACGCGTCCTTTTTAATTTTTGCAAAATGATGAACAGATTCTGGAAAATTTTGTTCCTTGTCATTATTACTGAAGAAAAAGAAAATTGAAATGTACCATTATTTTTTGTACGAAGAAATTGAGGTGAGTCAGACTGGATTACTGAACTGATCACTCTTTGCTTATTTCTTTCGTTGACACGGTAATTTTCTTTTTCTTCTTCTTCTTCCTTTTTTCTATTTTTTTATTTTTTATTTTTATTTTTTCTGCATAAGTGGGGTTAATTATAATTTTGGTATTGACATTTTTTCTGCTCAAAGGAGGCTTTCTACAGACGAGAAGAGAGAACATATCACACTGCGAATACGATCTAGTCAAAAATTCATTGATTGCTGTAAAAAAAATTGAAAAAGAAAAGAAATCAGATCTTTCATAGTCATACGTTCGTTAACTGGTGTAGGGGCAAAAATATGAGGCCTCGATTATGATGTAATGTTGGATGGGCACAAAGAGGAAAATCACTATTAAGTATCTCAAGTCATGAGAAATTCACACTTCCTTCACCAGCTTCTAGGGGATAGTAGGGAAATCGACATACATATTTCCGTTCTCATTGGAAGCCATCCCATCAATTCAAAGAGAATCATCCCCGCAATCCAAATGTCTCAATTTCTCTTTTCTTTTTCTCCTTTTCTAAGCTCAAATGCACCATTCTTAGATGAAGCTCTCTTCAATGGATAACTTGGGACAAAATCATTGAAAAAGTCCTAACATATACAGACACATTACCACTTTGAACTTTTTATTTTTGAAACAATTTATCTAATTAAAAACTTGCTTCAGTTGCAACAGATGCTCTTCATCCCTAAATCCGCGCCTTTTGACTGATGGAAACCTGTGATGCCACCAAGTTTCTCTCTCTCTCTCGATCAATACCGCAATCAAGAGAAGAACTCAAAGACACCAAATCAACATAGCGTCGGTGCTACCACTTAAAATTAGGGATGCTGCTTGCCATAGATTTTTTTGATATATATAGAGAGAGAAAAAGATAATTGACAAGCAAAAGCAAAGAGAAGAATAAAATTAGAACGATAGATTATGGAAAGATGGAGTGAAAAGAAAGCAACTTTCTTAAAGAGAGAAATCTCAAAAGAAGAAACCCACAAGCCCAAATGTTAATAATCCTAGGAGAGACAGGGTGGTGCAGGAGGACAAATATTGAAAATTCAACTCCTGAAATTGAAAATTTAGCTCAAACTAATTATTATTCATTTAATTTTTAAAGTAAACAAACATTTTTTCTTACTTAGTTTAGCCATATTATTATCACATAAATTTAAAGGAAATGATTTTTGTATAACTTTTTTATTTCATATTTTTATACAACTTGACATATTACTTACATAATTAGTTCTTTTAATTCATGTGAGACATATGATATTAAATACATCAATTCATTTAATAACATATAAAAATTATATAAAAAAATAATATAAATAAATTTTCCTTATAGCACCACACTAAATTTAATTCTATACGTACCCTTATCAACAAAATCTTGTATTTTATGCTCATCTCTCTATCTTTGTTTCTTTTTTCTTTTTTAATCTAAAAATCATAGATTTTATTGATAATTAGGAAAGTACAACAATTTCGCATATAATTATAAGTTAAGAGGCAAAACTACCTATAACACTATCATACAAACATGTGACCTATTCCCTTTTTTCTTTTTTTTTGGTGGAGATATGTGACCCATTCAAATGAGTCAGTTAAATATTAAGAGTCTCCTATACTAATAAGCATTGTAGGAATGTTTAGACGCCAAAGAAAAGAGTCACCCTATCTAAACATCCATAAACTCTAAGTGCTTGCACCTACAACACCAAAAGTTAAGGAAGAGCAAGAAGAGGCATTACAATAGTCCCCTACTCCCTATACAGCACCATGACCAAATTCCAACCTATCACAACCTCTCCAAATTTTTTGTATCCTTCTCTTCCTCCTCCTGTGCCGCCATAAATTGTCCTTGGGTAAGGCACTTATAAATGGAACCCTGGATCAAAGCTGAGGGGACACCCATAGTATGAACAATTCTTAAAATCTCTTGCAAGGAGGAACCAATCACCCACACCTGCCTTCTCTTCCTCACGATGAAGATTAGCAGCAATAACCGATGGGCAATTCCTCACTATGCTTTGTCCAGGTCATCTGCCAACTGCAGCTCTATGCTTTCATCTCATCTACAGTTAAAGCAACGCAAATCGCGCTACTGTAGTCCAAACAGCGTAACAGCACCACAGCAGTCATAGGCCTTCGCGCATTGGCTGCCACATTCGCCTTGAAGCCAGGGATAAGAAATTAAGCTTTTTCTTTTTTACTTTTGAGTTTTGACTGGAGAAGGAAACGAAAGACAAGGAATTACAATTGCCATTCAGACGAAAAGGGGGAAAAATGTAAAAAGAAACGGAAAAAGATCCCAAAGTATGGAATTGATAAGACAGCGAAAAGAAAATCTTAACCTGACCTCTCGTGACGATAGGGGGTGTTGCTTCTCATCTATCTTTCTTAATTAATTAACAGCATGTTTGAATTTAGGAGAATGGAGGGGAGGGAAGGAGAGGACAGAGCAGGAAAAAAAGTTCCTTTATTTAGATATTAAAAAAATTGAAGGAGAAAGATGGAAAAATTTTTCTTTACTTAATTTTTTATTTTGATTTAGTTATTAAAATAATTTATTTTTGATTTAGTTATTAAAATAATTTACTTTTGATTTAGTTTTAAAAACACTAATAAAAACATAAATTATTTAAAATTTGTAATCTAAAATAAAGTTAAAAAATGATTAGTATGAGAATGGAGAGAATAATATATACTATTGCTCAATCACCGACAATTTAACCGTATGCAAAAAATGTGTCTCAAGGAAAATGTTGCCATTATTCTGATGAGACGCTTGATGCCAAGATATCATATACAGTATTATCAACATCTATGGCAAAGACAAACTATACGAACTATAGGTGAAATTAACATGTGCCGACATGGTACAATAGTGAGTGGATAATTAAGATCATTTTTGTTCTTTGATGCGGTACATAATAAGATGGGGATAGCTCCTAATTCTAAACAATTCTTTGTGCATTTCAAAATCCCAATTTGAAATGTTTAATATTGATTCTCAATACCATAAAAAAATATTGATAGGTTACCTTCTAACACTAAAATTGAAATGTTGTGTTTGAAATTGTTATAAAATACTTTATATATGT